ATTCGAGGCAACCAGATAGTTTATTTAGTTTGTTAACATCTCTGATTATACATTTTACTGCAACTCTCTTAAATCAATTTATCAATTTTTTTAGACAAAATACATTTTAATTTATTATATATTATATATACCATTTTATTATATATTCCTAATAGCACAACGTATCCGAAAGATCCGATAAAAAAAAATGTATCGCGTAATAATAAAAATCAGCAGTTTTCTACCTACATCTGTAAAATGCAAAACACCTCGTTTAATCGCACTTTACTATACAGAGAGAATTTTCTCTTAGAATTTACTCTGAAAATCATGATAATCGCGCGACAATATGGTATTGGAAGAATCTTATAAGAGTTTCTCTGATTAATATTTACCACAGCAAAATCATTAATATGTACATAGTAAATTCTTAGTATGTACATAATAATATTTTTTGTGTGGTAAATATTAATCAGAGAAACTCTTATAAGATTAGTAGAATCTATTTTTTTTACCGAAAAGCCGAAAACCGCAATTTTTAAAGCTCGCACCTTCGTGCGGCGTCGAATCATCCGCTTTAGGAGAGACCCCGGAGAAAACAACATTGGCGGATACCGCCGACGCGGTCTTCTCGTCGTCTAATTGAATGGCATTTTATTTAGCACAGTTCCCCGCACTCTGGATAGCCGCTATTTACCTCAATTACGTAATTCACCGTACACAACCGGGCGCGCGCAGCAGCTATCCACCATAAGCACCGTATGGGTGATGGTGCACAACCGATGGTGGTGGTGGTGATGGTGGTGGCGGTCGACTGATGACACGTGTTTGCGCTACTGCCGCCATGCAATTAGCCTCCAATGTAATTTCGCGCCTGTATAAGAGCGTGCCACGCTCTTTTGGCCTAGTGCCGTTCCCGCGGGCGCATCGGTATAGGTACACCGGTATTTACGAGAAGAGGGAAGTGATTTCGTCCGGGACACATAAGGAAATTCGAGCCCAGGATGCCATTTTTCGTGCCCGCCGCACTTTTCCATATCGCGCGCGCAACGCGACGTCGACGTTTTCTAATTCGAAGATTGCTTTTGATTATAAGAAAAATTTGCGGAACATCATAATCATTAAAGTTATGAAATTAATAAAAATATGCATGGACATACTTTTTATTAAAAATTCTACAGTACAGATTATATAAAAGTAAAAGAATTTAAATTTAAATTTAAATTTAAAAAATAATATATTCATAAAATTTAAAAAATTATATAGTAGTTTTTTTAGGTATGCTGTGCCTTCATAATTTCGTGGAACACTTGTAACAAGTTCGCGAAACATTGGTTAAAAACCATTGTTTTAAATTATCACATATTTGTTATATTTATAGCAAATTTAGAAAAAATTAAATCATATAGATCCATAGAAATATATATATATATATATATATATATATATATATGCATAGAGGAAAACATTTCAACAATTACATATTCTATGTTTTTTATATTCAAATATATTATTTTGTGAGGTATATTGCTACTATGGAATAGCTTTCATGTGAATGTACAGTTGTAGTTGCATGCAACAAATCTATAGATACTTATTTGCGAAATTTAACCTTAAAATTCCACTATATCTAAAATACTGTTATTATGTAACATAAAATAGAATCCTGTGCGTTTCTTTATTTCTCGTATATTATGAAAAATTTTATATTATTCATTATCTGTTATCGATTTTGGTTTAGCGATTATAGCTCTGCAATTTTATTCTTTTAATATAATTGGTAAAATATATATCTAAAATTTTGCTATTAATAATAGACATAAAATAAAATTATATATATGTATATACATTTTTCGAAATATCGAAAAATATTCACGCCGCCTTTAATATTCGTATGAACAATTATTTATCGATAAAATTGTGTAATTAATATTACGTTCTCTCTTCAGCGTATCGAAAATGAGTGCTCGCGTAATTCAAGCATCGAGTCCGTACACTGACGAAACGTGACGCAATGTTAATAGATGGGATATTATCTAGCGACTAATATCATTGTAGACGATAACCACGCTCAAGACAGTAATTGTGCACGCTCTGACTGATTAAGTATAATTATAATCCAGAAAGAAATGTCTCTAGGTCACTGTGCTAGGATGACAATCAACGAATTCCTGCTTCAGCTGTTCCGCATCACATATATTTCTAAAGTTTTATCGAAATTTTAGTTTTATTCCACATATGTGTCACTGGAAAAAATTTTATTTGATTAATCAATTATAAACAGAAAAAGTTAAATATTAATAATAAAATAAAGAGCGTGTATAGAGAGAAATAGTTATAAAGTTTTAAATTTAAATTAATAATATAGACTTCAAAATTAGATTTAATTTATAAGCACACTTATACACAACATAGTTTTAAAAATAAAGTTAAAAACATCATATACATTAACGTAAGAAAAAGGAATGTCTAATAAAAATCGGCAAAGTACTCAAAACTGTCAAAAAAAGAAATGTTATGCTCTTTACTCGTTTGTCATTGACCATTAATAAAAAATCATTACTAGGCGGTGCATAATAAAATGTCATTTATTTTTATTACGAAAAAATTTAATTGAATTATATTGTTACGTGTTAACACGTATTGATAGTCAATGAGTGCGTAAATAAAGTTTACCCGTGAGCAAGATTTAATCTATCTTCACCCAATTACACATTCATAGATATTATCGGGAAAAATCTATCTTATTACAAAATACTTATTACAAAATAGTTTATATTGAAGTTTTATGCACTTGCTATCGCTGCATATATTATTTACGACGTTAAATTATTCGATAAAAATTCAATCAAGATTAATATAATGCAAGACAAATTATTTTCGTAATGATCGGTATATACGAGTAGTTATTCTTATATTTTTACATTGTATATACAAATTTTATATTAATTATTTTTAAATAAAATCGTGCAATATAAAATTAAATTTCCCGTTGCTCCCTCTTAGAAATTATTAAAATGTAAAAGAATATGTTACAATATTTTTTTTATATTTAGAAATAAAGAAAATAATCAATAGAATATTTATTATTGAAGCGTATCGCGTAATATTATTCGCGAATCTATGGGATTTAACAAAAATTACATTGTTGAAATTGGTGTCGTTAAAAAACTATGATCAATTTAATTATCGAATACAAGTGTAACATATACATATGGTAAAAGGAATGAAAAATATTGAGCCATTTGTATGATAATTTTACCTCTTTATGTTCAACGACGATCCATAGAATTAAAGATATTCCTTTTGTTTCCAACAACTGTGACAATATTCGTGCGATCGACTAATAATAGTATAAATGCAATAAAAGCTATATATAGCTCGATTTTAATTATCATTCTGAATGATTTCGACACGAAAGAAATAAATCATGTAACAGAGTTTAATGATGTCACAAAGTGCAATCTATCTGAACATTAATAAATTACGAACGATTTATTTCGATTTTTAATAGTATGTGTGTTGTTGATTCAATATATATTTCATATTTCATTTATCATTACGTATATCATTTTCATTAAGTAATTAGAAATATAAAGTGACACAGTTCTTAGAAAGAAGTATTTTTTACGAGGTACGCAACTAATTATTGACAGCTGCTTGAAATTCAAATTGATATAAGAAAATAATATGCATGTCGGCACTTTGATATCTGATTATTCCTAGTGATTACGGGGTAACTACATTATATAAATTTAAAATGAGTCAATAAATAGTAAGGTATAATAATTTAAATGTGTAATGTGGTTCTACTACATTTTCATTCCATATTATCCATACTCGAAGAGAATACATAAAAAATCTAGCTTATAAAGTTTGAGCAACTAGAAACTTTTGAGATTCGGAATATTAAGAACATCGGATAAAATTATTTAGAAAATCAACATTAAACGCGTTTATTAGAATACTAATATTTAACAAAAGTACCTCAAATTATAAGGCAAGACAGAGTCAAGGAATGTAAGCATTGTTTATATTGATCTACACTACTGAAAAATAAAAACTAAACACGTTTATTAAAATACTATGTTTACTCCATGTCGGAATTGACGCCCCCGGTGCCGCACTAGCAATAAATTTCTCAAATCATAAGGCAAGACAGAATGAAGGAATGTAAACATTGTTTTTATTAAATACAAGGTCGTTTACTAATAATAATAAGTGGATGCTGCGTACGACATAGCATCTTTCAGTTTTGGTCAAAGTATCAATGAACCTCAGGAAAATGTAAAATAAAAGTCGAAATACTACGGAAAAATCAACTTAGAAAAAAAAATAAGATAAAAGCATAAGTAGAATACGTGTAATTATTTTCTAACACGTGTATCTCATCGTTATTAAATTTATTTCAGGAAAGCAAGCTAAAAAAAAATATATAATTAATATCCTAAACTCCGTATTTTCGTAATTTCAGAAGCTCATCCACGAGGAACTAATCCCGTCTAAGTTGAACTGAACAATCAAGACGTCAACGTAGTCAACAATTGGAATGTCACTCGTCTCTCGCGTCTGATAGCGCGCGATTTAGTCAATGAACGAATGAAACAAGCTCGAAAGAGAGAATAACAGATGACACGATTCTGCGACGTTAGCTCTAGTCTCTCTCTGGTCTATCTCTCCGACGATATCAGCCCGAAACGAACGAACGAACGAACGAACGAACGAAGGAACGGACTTCCCCGGGCAGGCAGGTATACAGAACATCAGCGCGCATCGTCGGTCGCCCCGAGGGCGACCAGGTAGACGTAGGCGCGGTTGTTCTTCAGCGACACCCATGTGGATACCATAATGGCCTCCGCAACTCCAATCGCCGTTGCAGAGTTTATATACGTTTGGTGGGGAACGACTCTACCCGCCAATCGCGAACCGGCCTGGCACCCTTCACAAGCTTCGCCTTGAATAGCGCCGCTGTGGCGACTCTCGGAAACGGTGAACCAGGCTCCGGGGAGCGGCTCGGGCTTCATTATGTATCATTATACCGGTCCGCGTCGCGCGGTGTGCACTGCAGTTACTGGAACCAGGCGCGCGTGTGTGCTCTTCTCTCCTCTTCTATACGCCCTGGTCCTCATCTTCGTCGTCTTCTTCTTCTCTCATCTTCTTCGTCCAGTCGTGTATACGTGCGCGTATACGTCGAGCGTGGCACGATACCCTCGTCGGCCTCGAGTGTAATCGTGGCGCGACGCGCGTAAAAAGCACACCGTCGCCGAGGAGGTGACGCGCGTTGCCTCCTCGCTTTGGTACACGCAATTAAATCGGCCGCGAGTGCGTATTGGGATAACGGAGCGACTTGGAATAGAAAATTCATCCAGGTGGAATCGATCAGATCCCCGTCCGTCGCGCGGATGTGACCAGACGCGGACGTTCAGGACTCTGTGATATTCAAGTGATATTGTTCAAGTGACGTTCGCGATATACGTTGTAATAATCGCGAGTGCCAGAGACTCCGATATGTCGACGGCCTGGTCGCGGCCTGGTCGTGACGCATCTCCGTTTGGAAGCGGAGCGACGATGAGCTGACGCACGGCAGCCGGACAGTAGAGCATATTTACCGTCTCTCTCGGACTCTCTCTCTCTCTCTCTCTTTCTCTTTCTCTCTCTCTCTCTCTTTCCGGCTGGCTGGCTGATTAATAGTGCTCCCGCGAAGACAGTACGCGTGTGAAGTGGACAAGTGCGATAAGTGGTGAGTCCGCGCTGAGGAACAGGAACCGTCCGAGCGACGGGCGAGTGTGACAGTTGACGTGTAACGTAGACTGCTCCGATATCTAGCTCCAGAAGTGAAATATCCCCGATACAAGGAGTGAGAGGAAAGAACCGAGCGTCGTGATAGTGCAACTCGACGAAACAATAATACAATTCAGTGCGAACAATATTCGAACACGGTGATACCAATTTCCAATTGTGTCAATTTCCCCAATCAGCTGATAAGCTGACACCAGCTCGCTGCCCGACGGCTAAGCTAAACTCTCGGCTCTCCAATGTCGACTCGGCGCCTGATGGTTTACTCCGACACGTAGTGCCCATCATCCAGGACATTCAGAGCCTAAGACTCGTCACTTCTTATACACAGAGAGAGTGGCCCCAAGATTCGGGCCCCGTACGGTGGGCGCGCGGCGGCGACTACGTCGTCGGCGAGTCTAGCGAAGATTGTGGGCTGTGGCGGCGGCATCGACGTCGTGTTTAAGGTGGAGCGTCCGGGCAGCACGACGACGCTCAACTTCACGGATCTGGGGAGCCCATTCGGGGCGGGCGACCCCTGTCCGTCGAGTACCCCGACCCCGAACAGCATGTCGGGCGGCGGCGGACCGACCGGCGGCAGCGGCGGCGGCGGCGGAGGCGGCGGCGGCGGCGCCGCCGGCACCGGGGGCGCCAATTCCGACATGGAGCAGCATCTTCATCACGCGGGCCTGGGCTCGGTGACGCCCGGTCCGCCCGGCGGGAACGGCGGCGACAGCACGACCTCCAGCACGCCGGTCTCCCAGAGCGGCAAGTCCGCCTTCATCGAGCTCCAGCACAACAATCTGTACAACCCGGCGAGTCTGCGGAGTGGTTACCCAGGCGGACACAACGTGCCCGGTGCCCATCAGTTCTCGCACCAGGTCGGCTCGTTAGCGGCCCATCAGGGCTCCGGCCCGGGCAGCGGGAACCAGCAACACGCGGACGCGGGCTTCCCCAGTCCTAGATCCGCGCTCGCCGGATATCCGTTCGCGCCCATGCACCAGCACAACGCATACGGATATCACCTGGGATCGTACGCTCCCCAGTGTCCCTCGCCGCCCAAGGACGGTGAGTACCCCAACTGTATGTATTCGCAGCCTTTTTACATTTTTATTCTTAGGACTTAAGTCTCTAGTTGCTAGATCGCAGATGGTTCTCTCCGTTTCGTGCTTCGTGTTGATGCGAAATTTGTGAAGGAAATATATGATGACGTGGTGAAATTTATTTTGTTCGTCGGGATGAAGCTACAGTGAATTTTGCAGTGAAGTTCTCGCGAGGGTATATATAAAGTATCGTCATGGAACGGAGATATCATCGAAGGGCTCAAGGCGAAAGTGCTTGTACATATACGTAATTGACGTGGCGCATCGCGAAATTGATGATGAGAATTTCTCGCGCTAATTGTGATCGTAGTAAACAATTTCGCTTTCAATTCAACGATCTATAATCCGACACGAGGCTTGCAACGTCGTTTTTTCGAGAACAGATTCGTAATCGTAAACGCGTTCGAATATTTTCTCTCACCTTGGGCCCTATACTTTAGATATAGACGGATAGATGAAGATATATATATATATATTTTTTTTTTTCGAAATCGTCCATCATCGGTGCGCTAATATTTGACGGACTGAAGCGAATATCGTGCCAGCGTTCTAACATTTGTCAAGGAATGATAAGGTCACCTTGACACGAAACAGAAATATAAGACGGCGACAGGCGTTTCCGGTGGGTCACCTGTATCCCGCGAGCGCGTTTTATTATATTACGACTTTATTGTATGGTCCCGGGTCTTTTATTGCCCTCGCTTGCATGGTGAACGTCTTAATTCGCGTTAGCGAATTTCCAAGAGCGTCAACAAATGTGGAACGCTCGTGTCTTTGCGACGTAAACGCAATTAGTTGCCGTTCCGCCGTGTTTCGTTCGACGTAAGCAAGAAATCGGCCGCGTTTATATCGCGATTTGCTCTCTCTCTTTCACTCTTCAGGTTCTCGCGATTCGCGTTTTCCGTCAGCCCAGTTTTACATCGTCGTATCATCCGCATCGTCACCTTCTTCCGCATGCGACTCTAGATAGTTTACTTTATATGTATATACCGATGCATTATTATCCTCTCATAATCTTTATCTTCACTCTATGTAAGAGAAATTATAAACTCTGAAGACAAACTGAAGACAACTCTCTAAGAAATCGAAAGTTTTTCTCCTCTATAAAAACAAACTTTAAAAAAGTACCCGTGAAAGTTTTGCAGGTAAACAACAAACATCTCTGTGTATTTTAAAAAATAGGTACATTCAACTTTCTCTATTTCTCGCATTTCAATTATTTCATTTATTTTAAAGCTCGTCCGATGCTTTCTATGAATGAGATATTTAATTGATAAACCGATACAGTTTTATTCAGGACGTAATTTAAACGAAGATTCTCGGGATAAAAATAAAGGTAGAGAGAAAACGGGGCACGAGAGAAAAAAAACTTGGCAGGTAGTAGTAGTAGTCGGTCGACGCCCCAACTATGTCACAGTACAATGAAATGGAATAAGATATATGACTAAAGAATCTTCTCGGGGGCCTAAGAAGTCCCGCAAAGCGGCTAACGAACGAGACAAAAAGATTCGGGACCCAAAAACGGGAGCAGTTCACGGGCCTAAGAGCTCTTTCGCTCTTATATATATATATATATATATATATATAGTTTTCTCTCATCCGATCATCTCGTTTCTTCTCTTTTTCCCTCGGTTTTTATCATTTCTCAGAATCGCATTAGCGCGATTTTTGTCTTACGCGCGAAATCACAAGTCAGCTAATTGCGATTATTATCGGATTCGCCCCTGCTTTGTCGTTGATCGCGGAATCGCTCGAAACATTACGATATCTACGGTAAATACATTGTTACTGGAATTGGAAAAAAATTCTTCGGAGAGATAATCGCCCAGGATTTTTAGCGCGCGAATGAAAAAATAACGAGAGAAGTCATACAAATAGCGCAATTAATTCCGATTGCTCGCGTCGCGATCAGGTGTTGGCATAAGTTGTCTCATCATATTTCGCGGTAATTCTTTTTCTTATCCAGTTCTCTCTGTCTCACAATAGTGTGGTCTAAACATGGACTCTATTGTACACATCCGCATCGCGTGATCGAGATAACTTATTTCGCCCGAGAAAGTCCCGCGTGTTGTAGATAGTAGACTCCGTAGACTTGCATAGCGACATTCGCGCGCACGGTTTTCTTGGTCGATTGCATTTTCAAATATAGTCCGGGTTATCGTCTGGAAATATTCCGTCGCAGCCGCGGCAACATTCGGCGAATAATTTATCGGGACGTACATGCATACGTGCGATGTGTAGAGCAACGAGGAAACTCCGTCGGCTTAGCTAGGCAAAGCTTAGCTCGAGCGCAGACGATGAAAGAGAGAGAAAGAGAGAGAGTTCGGGGTGACAGGGTTCGCTGCTACCCCTCCATTCGCGCCTCATGAATTCGTAACGACACCCTGCGCTGCGTGTGTGGGTGTATATATATATATGTATATGTGTGTTCACCGTCGCGCGGGCAATCTCCCTGGAAGTCCGTGCACTTCTGCGTAATCCACTACCGCGAGTGCACTTCTCTCGCTCGGCAATTTTCGTGGTCTCGCGAAAATTGCCGGTGAGCTTCTTTCCCTTCCCTGAAAAAAGGGTTGAAAACCGCGGGAAAAACTTTTTCTTCTATTCAAGGGAAGGGAGGAATCCGCGAGCCGACGATTTCCGCGCGTTTCCCAGAGGGTTGAATTCTCACGCACGAGGGAAACTTGCGCCTCTAAATTACCGGTCATTTTCCTTTGAACCTTGTGTGTGTGTGTGTGTTGCTTTTATTAAATAAATCGTACGGAAACGAAACGCATTATTCCCGCGGGTCCGAGTTGCGTAGACATTTTTATTGAAGGGTTATTTTCGCGTAACTCTTCGGTATTTCTGCGGAAGGGAGGAAAAAGAAATTTCTCGAGCGGGAGGGTAGTTACGTTAATGTACCCTCGCAATGTTTCAAGGTACAATAAGACACTCGTTAAAACTTGCCGCATTTTTTCCGACAGACATTATGGAAAGTGCTTATAATGCGACGATCATTGCCGAATGTCATAAATATTGTGGCCGTCTGTTAACGAGGTCAATCGCGTCGATTGTAATCGATAAAATCATAAGCGCGATCCCTCTAATTGTTAACGAGCATTTATTTGCGTATCGGGCAATAAAAGCAATTCTGTCACTTGTCACATTCGAGCGCGACGCGCAAAACTTACGTTTATAACTCAGCGATTTTGATTAGCCGATTGCATAAAGTTTGCATAATTGCATTATATGCGTGTATTGGATTAAACGCGTATTCGTATGCAGTTAGTCACGATATTTATTTTTGACATTGCAATGTATCATTAAGTGTGAGAAATTTAATCGAGAAATAGCTGCGTAAAAATTAAAATCGATCATTAGACTGAAGATGGAGAATATTTTTAATCAACAATTTTTGTTCTTCTATTTTGATATTTTTTTTGAACAAAAAATTATTGTGTATTATCTCGAATTTCCGAGAGCTGAATATAATAATCCACGCGCAATTGTTGATGGATAATAATAATCGTTCGATTTCCTTACGATTTAATACAGAAAAATCGTCTTTTACGAGATATTCGCGAACACATCTCATGTCTTGTTATAATAAACCCGGATTTTCTGAGAACTCCTAATTTCTCTCTTTCTCTCTCTTATTCCTAGAAAGACACGCTCGATCGTTCGTGACTTCCGCGAATTCAATATGTGTGCGCTGATAAAAGCTGCATCAAAATATATAATACTTTGGATACTTTTACGTAACTCGTAGTGGTCGAAGCGTCGGGAACCATCGATTAAGGTGTGAAGATAATCGTTTATCCACGTGTCCAAACTGTCATCGAACTTCTTATCGCGTACACGTGCATTACGTCTCAATTTACTAACTCGTACAACCTTATTTCGTATATTTTAGTTACACAAGTTACGCGATTATCACAACATCAGCGTGTACACTTACAAGCGTTTTCTTGCAAGTCAGTTTGTTGAAAGCGCATTTGGCGACATTATCGCGTATATTTTTCAGGTTTCATAATTTTAATAAAATTGTGCGACATTACATGAGCAGAGAATCACGGTAGTGTAAAAAAAAAAAAAAAGAAAAAATGTTGACACTTGGACCGATCTGTCATCGTTGTGCAAAATAAGCCGACTTGTCGTCGCGTCGTTCTTCCCTCGAACTAACGTAGTTGAAGCTGGAATCCAATTAGTGGGGTGCTTCTCTCGGTATCAGACGAGGCGCCCGTCGGTATCTCGCATCAGTCACCTGACCTGACGTCTGACCGCCGCCCGGACTTAATCCGGGTCGGTCAAAAGACAATGCTTACCCGGGCTCGAATGATGGATTAGGTATTAAATGATTGTTTTCATAAGGATTAGGTAGAGGTATACCGAGCACACGCCGACCTGGCTTCTCTTTGAAATCCCGCCGAACCGCGCTCGGACCTTACGAATTTTGTACGGAAGTCGTGTTTTCTCTAAAGATACATCTCCCAGATATAGCATAATTGTGGATCTGCAGTATTAAAATAATTAATATGAAAATATAAATAATTTGAATAAATAAATATTAAATATGTATCGTGGAAAAGGGGATTCTAAACGTTCTTGAGAAGTCTGTTGTTTTTTTCATGTTTTATCGGCAAAATGTGAGATTAGATAAACTATAAATCTATTTATTGGCTATATTTATTTTCATGTGCGCACGAAAATGTAGGATGAGTTATTTTTGTTTACTAGGTTTCCAAATTGATATCTAAACATTCACTTATATTTCTTTATTCAATGCCAAATCTGGCCTGGTCTAATTTCAGATAAAGATTTTTAAAAGCGTTTAGGATCCCCTTCTTACGCAATAATTGATGACATATTGATATTTTTCATTTAGATCGATAGAAAATATTTTCGACGATAGTTTTTATCATCACAAAATAACGCAATAAAATAATTTGTTGAAAAATTGTGTGAACTTGCGCGAAAAAAGGCTGGAATACGAGAGGTAAACTCGCGATGCTTTTTCATCATTCGTTGCGCGCAACTGTGGTAGCGAGATGTAGAAATATAAGATGTCGGTTCAACAGCGACAATGTTAGACAGGTTGCGTTAAGTCCAGCCTAGGGCAGTGACGGACAGCTTGTAATTTCAAGTTCTTTGGATTGAGAGCCGCGCGCCTACCGTGTGATTATCAACGTCGCATTAATCGCTCGGCGGGCTTATTATCATATGTTCGGTTAGGCTTGATTATGTGACTTCTAAAAGAAACCTTCAGCGATGCTAGGCGGCTGAATACCGCGGCGCAAAGTAACACTTTGCGGCAGTTTCTGCCACTGCCGAGCACTTTGCATACGCCTCGGTGTTAACAACCATGGTCTATCCTCTTTCTATAACACACCCTTCTCGCAACGTATGAATTCTCGGAGAGCAAAAGAGAGAGAGAGAGAGAGAGAGAGAAAAATCCATCCATAAAACAGCACCTTAGTCTTTTCACGCGTGCAGGGATACTCTCGTTCTCCGCCCCGGTCGACATCGCGTCGCCTTGACTGGCTGTAATTAACAACGGAGCTCGTAATCCCTGCTAACGCCTCTATAAAATTTATTGCGCATGTTACGTGGCGCTGATACACCGCGCGACAATAATAATAACCGGTACACCATGATAGGAAAAAATATTGATGAGAGTGATCGATTGATAAAATGTTCTCTCGATAGAAAAGTTTTATCAAGTATATAGTTATATTTTTCTGTTTTTTTATCTTTTTTTTTAATTTACATTCCAATTATTTCAACGAGAAGTTACATTTTAAGGGTGCTTATAAATAAAAATTTATAGTGAACAATTTATACTTGAAAATAATTTAAAATACCTGACAATTTTTTAAATTGATCTTAGCTAGATTTCAATTATTCTAACGAGATTAAATCTTAGATACAGGGTACCCCAAAAATTAGCGGATCATCTGTTAATAGTAGATTTCTGAGATCGTTTGAAGACGATTTTTCCTCGACGAAAATGTCGAGGCACCAATCATTTTCGAATTATATGCGATTGAAACTAAAGGGTTTTTTTGCAAACTAAGCCTTGTGGAAATAAAATATTAACAAAACCACATTCTTTAATTAATTTTAGGTAGAGTTTACTTTAATAGAATTTTAATTAAACTTTTAGTTACAAAGATACATGATAGCAAAAAATGATGGCCTCTCTCGACATTTTCTTTGAAGGAAAAATCGTTTCCAAGAATTCGCCATTAATAAATGATCCGCTAGTCCTGTACAAATATAAAAGTAGCGAATAATTCATATATGAAAATAATTTAAAGTGCATGAGTGACTGTGAAAAAAGTAAACGTTTATTCATAAGAGGAAAAAAATATCCAAATTTGCAATTCAATCTACTTTTTGTCATACCCTCGCGTCATCAAAGAATTGAAGATGCTCATACCGATATTAAAGATTGCACCCGGTATCGCCTTGAAATTGCAACGGGGAAGATAAACACGAGCGTAAACACGCGATTGCATCGCATCGTGGCGTAATGTAACCTCGCGGAAACTTTATGGGGGATCATTATTGTCTCTTTTACGCGTGATCAAAGTCTCTCTCTTCCTGTTGGCTCCTCATTGATCCGCATCTCGTCGCCAAAGTACATATATAAATCACGCGTGTGAATAACTTTGGACTCTAAATCACCCTAATTAATAGTTACGTTAATCTCTGTTTTATAGTCTCGACGTTGACATTTTCAATTTATTCGCATCGGTTAGCTTTTTCCAAAGTTCCTGATTAATAGTTTTGGCAAAAAATTCTACGAGAAAAAGAATACACGCCACATCTCATTCTAATTTAACGTATGCAGAACATTTGCTAGAACCAACAGATTCCGATTAGATAGGGACTCTTCTCTCGCTCGCGCTGAAAATCGGTCGGACAAAACGCGCCTATCGTCGTGGTATAAAAAATGTCCGTGGCTGATGTTCTTCTCTCTCTCCTGGGAAGAGACGCGCGCGCGATGAAAACACGCAACATCATAATCGCGATATAAAAATAATGAAACAGATTCAGCGCGAGATAGGACCCTGGCACGATGCGCGGATGAGGCTCTATCGAGGCCTCTATACGCTACTTCATTGCATCGCTTTAAAAGATTGATATATGGCTCGGTAATTAATTATCGCGCCCGTTAACGCACCGCGGGGCTTTTTCTCTTTCTCTCTCATCTGTTGCAGCGCGCGCATTTTCTGCACTGCGCTAATTATCGCAAATTCGTTGTATGCGAATTGAATAATGCATTTATTTTATCAGATAATTGCGCGCGGCTTGCGTCGAATAAAATATTCCGGCCGCGTTTCAGCTATTGTGTTTCCCTCTCCTTCTGCTTTTTGGGAAAGAAAAAAACGGCGCGTCACTTCCGTTAATTTCGAGACCCTTCGATAGACGTCTTTTACTTTTTACACGCATTCCATTAGAAACAAATCAAGATTAACTATGGGATTCGTCGAATGATCCCAAAATATATCAATTTTTTCATCATTTATGCCGCGGTTTTTTCAATTAAAAATGTCAAAATAATCGTATATCGTACATGTATTATCGAAATGCGGGTCAGGTTTTAGTTTAATTTTATTTTTAGTTCGCAAACGAGCGGTGACGGGGATTCTGAAAGTTGATGTTAGGGTGGTGCATGTTCGCAGACCTCTCGCCATTAGGTGATAAAGGCGGAAGCCTCGTCGACGAGCTGGGCGGCGGCGGCGGCGGTTCCCTCAGGAATGGCAAGGGCAAGAAGATGAGGAAACCGAGGACGATTTACAGCAGCCTGCAATTGCAGCAGCTCAACAGGCGGTTCCAGAGAACGCAGTACCTCGCGCTACCGGAAAGAGCGGAGCTCGCGGCCAGCCTCGGACTCACGCAAACACAGGTTAGTCTCTACAGCATATTAAAAAAAAAAAAGACCAGAGCGCAAACTTCCCACGACACGATAAATAGTTATTCTTATCTCGCGCTTTTTAATTATTTAGCCTTCATGTGCTAAAATAGTGCGCGCCATTTATTTCAGTACATAAGACGGCGATAATAATTATTGAAGATTATACGGAATACAGTAGTGTTATTTTATTTTAAAAATTGAGTGAAAAGTACTCGGAATTCATTATTACAATTTATTCGAGTACTTATTTTTTATATTAATTGGAAGCCAATATGGAATACATTATTTTTATTTTATTTTAAACTTGATAGAAATGTTCGGAGAATTAATTATTAAAATTATTTGAATATTTATCTTTATGAATCTTAATATTAATAATTTTTATCGAAGATTGGAAAATTAATTATATATTTGAATATTAATCTTTATTATCGTTATACGGTACCGAAAATTATTACCATGTAATGCGTCTCTGAGAAATTTTCTCAGAAGTCTTAATTTATATATATACACATATATCGTATCGATAATACGTTCTCGAATGATAAAATACTCGGAACGTGTATGTTTCCGCGATACAGGTTTCCTTTTCAGAGATATGCGTTATCGGGAAAACGTCGTCGGAAATTGTCTCTCGAAATTGTGTAAACGAGTAAATGGTATCGGAACAGCAAACGCACATTCGTGTATTGACTGGCTGATTACTCTCGCATCTACTCGCGATATTCTTCGTCCTCGCGAGCGACGCGATGAATGGATCCGGTTATATCTACTTTGGTAACGGGAGCCACCGATAAACGGCATCTGTCAGCATTATCGGCACAAATGACTTTAGTAAATCACCGATTCGCCACGCCCTGGACATTGGGGATAGGGTTGCAGGCCGGTCCAGTGTCCAGTGTGTACACACATATATATATATATATATATATATATATATACCGAGGCAGGAAAAGAGAGACAAGTTTGCGCGCGAACTAACGAGGTGCTCATAAATTCTCCCTCGGCGATCGCGCGAGTTTTGCGCGCGAACTTTCCACATGGCAGGCAAGAACTTTATATGCGCTTATATCGTCACCCGGTTTCCGATTAACGATTTATTAGAGCCGAAGATCGAGCTACATAATCGGAGAGACGTTAATTAGGCTCATTGTGGATTTTTCGTGACATATCTGACTGATTTATGGAAGCCAAAAGGCTAATTAAAACATTCGGATCGACAGTCTTAGTAGTTTACAGTTTATAAGTGTCCTTTTTCGTATCTTTATTCCTATATCGAGTTGCAATCTGATGAAATTACGAGTTTCCTCGACGCAAAATTATGCGTTTCATTGATTGATGCGGGACGAGCGTGGAGCAATTTTCGCGGTTGCTCTTTGTTGCGTTCAACCTCAACCCTCGAAGAAGCGTGTGCACAATGACCGTTGCGTATATGGCGCAGCGCACATACATAACTGCGTATCACGCGCGTAATCACGGGATAACTGGCTGTCGTAGTTGCTTGATGTCGTTGCAGGGGGTCCCGGACCGGATAATTTCATTAGACGGAGCACCGCGGGAGTTTGTTCTCCTCCCTCGTGAGCGAATGAATCGTGCATGGCGCAACCTGATGAGCAATCGGCATCAGGTTGTTTACTAAACACCACTGCAATCAGCATTATTTATTTTTCATTTATAATATATATTTATTTATTGATAAGAATATTTAATGTTGAGAATATTATATCGGCTCTTATTAATATAACACATATACAAGATATACACATCCTTCTTCACCGGCCATAGAGCCAAATTGGAAGGAGGTGTATATCTTGTATATGTGATATATTTATTTCTTAGAGGAAAAGAAGATTGCGTGTTGAATTGTTAGAGGAGTTACATTGGGGGATTTCCCAGAATAGGAAAATTGGAGATTCTTAGAATAAGAAAATTGGGGATTCTTAGAATAGGAAAATTGAAGATTTTTCTATTCTGGAACCTGATGAGCAATCGGCGTCAGGTTGTTTACTAAACATCGCAATCGGCATTATTTATTCTTAATTTCTAATATATATTTTGGGAAGAAGGAAGGACCATGAATTATCCATAAGAGTAAAATTTGTGGGGTATTTCCAGAATAGGAAAATCCCCAATTTTCCTATTCTGGAACCTGATGAGCAATCGGCGACAGGTTGTTTACTAAACATCGCAATCGGCATTATTTATTCTTAATTTCCAATATATATTTTTAGGAAGAAGGGAGGACCATGAATTGTCATAGGAGTAAAGTTTGTGGGGTATTTCCAGAATAGGAAAATCCCCAATTTTCCCCTAAAAGTCTGCATCGGTAGAGCTAATTGGACTTCCCCAAACGTTCTTTCTCGCAAAATGGGGGAGACTTATATGTACTTTAGCAGAAGTACCCGATATCTCTCGCGTCGGGAGTTCGGGAGAGGAATCCTGGCGCGATCGGCGCGGCTCCTCAGCATCAGGCACCGTGCATAATCCGTAATCGCCCAATCAAGGCGTTCGACCAAGCGCCTCTTCAGCTCTTCTTGGCCCTGCTACCGTCGCGCGTTAGCTTTCTTGTCATCGCCAGCAACATGGCGCCTTCGGAGTCTTCAGTCAGTCTCTTCCATCTTCTCTCCTCTTTCCTCAGCGTCTCCTCCTTCCACGCCACGTCGTCTCTCCCCTCCGGCGATGTTTTCCTCGCATCTCCCCATTCCTCTCTCCTTCTCCTCTTCCTCTTTGCCTTCGGTCTCAAACGGCCAAGAGGGAGTGAGACAGAGAAACGCATAAGAAGGGAGGCAGGAGCGAGATCGAGGTGAGGCCACGCATCTCTTTTTCTCCGGGGCTTCAATTTGAGGACGTGGTAGCGTTCGTGCCGCCGGTGTACACGAGATACGCGAAGGAGGTATCCGAAAGAGGCCAGAGAGAGAAAGAGAAGAAGAGGGACGAGGTGGGAAACAGGGAGTAGTAGACTTGCTCACGCGAAGTACACACGGGCACACGCTCTAGATGTGTATACGTTAGAGGGACGTGGACACCAGCACGCCTGTCTGCGTTCCTGCCACGTACCTCTTGGGCGTGGTGCTTCCTTTTTCTTCCTCCACGCCGCGACTAACGTGCCCGATCTCTCCTCATTGGCCCCGGGAATGCGAACACGTCGAAGCGAGATTCGAAAGTCGCGAGAGGGAAGCTTGCGAGAGTACACGACGTGAATTGGAAATTCACGAGGGCTTAAAGCGCCTTCGCAGCTTTTGCAGCTTCGAAGGGGATGGGGCTCCAAAACTTACGGGTTTCGAGTCATGACACGAAATCAAAAGAGAATATCCATACTCTGTTTTATATGTAGCATCAGCGCTATTTATCTTCCACGGGAAATTTGGAACAATGATGAATCAAATTTTCCTAGAGATTTTTCAATATATAAACACCATTTTTTTTATTCGAAACAAAATTGAGTTATTTATGTAGATTTTAAATTCCATCGTTGTTGCGTTGAAGCCTCTACATGAAGATTGTATAGAATCTTACTTAAATGCAGAATACGAATGTACGGATTTGTAATGACAGATATCTCTTTTGCAGCTTCGAAGGTGATGGGGGTCCAAAACTTACGGGTTTCGAGTCATGACACGAAATCAAAAGAGAATATCCATACTCTGTTTTATATGTAGCATCAGCGCTATTTATCTTCCACGGGAAATTTGGAACAAGGATGAATCAAATTTTCCTAGAGATTTTTCAATATATAAACACCATTTTTTTTATTCGACAAACAAAATTGAGTTATTTATGTAGATTTTAAATTCCATCGTTGTTGCGTTGAAGCCTCTACATGAAGATTGTATAGAATCTTACCTAAATGCAGGATACGAATGTACGGATTTGAAATGACAGATATCTCTTTTGCAGCTTCGAAGATGATGGGGATTCAAAATTTACGGGTTTCGAGTCATGACACGAAATCAAAATAGAATATCCATACTCTGTAGCACTATTTATCTTCCACGGGAAATTTGGAACAAGGATGAATCAAATTTCCCTAGAGATTTTTCAATATATAAACACCATTTTTTTATTCGAAACAAAATTGAGTTATTTATGTAGATTTTAAATTCCATCGTTGTTGCGTTGAAGCCTCTACATGAAGATTGTATAGAATCTTACCTAAATGCAGGATACGAATGTACGGATTTGTAATGACAGATATCTCTTTTTTTGCGGTCGAAGCTTCTCCTTCATTAAATTTCCGAATAAACATAAATTATCGGAAAACTGGCGCGAATCGCGTTCAAGGTCCTCGGAAATCTAACTTCTGTCACGAGAGCACGCGATACAGTTTCGCGGAAAAAGCATTGCGCACTGCATCATCGAAAACACTGCTCATGGCAGTAGATGAACGCGCGAGTATCTATTATTTATGCATGAATGCGCTCGCGAACACAAGTTCGCTACTATTCATCGTTATCTTATATGTTGAAATATTTGTGCAGGAATCCATACAGAAGAGAAAAAACTATTAAGCGACGGGAGAGAGCGAAAACAAAAAATAAATTATATAATGTATAAATTGCAAGACACATTTCCAGAGCGAAAAACTGTGAGTTATTCTAGTTTCACACGTTAGTTTAATTTGTCATGAGTCAATTGGAATCTGTTTGCATTTTTTGTGAGATATTATATGTGTATCTATAATATTTATATCTGTAATTTTTTTTTTAGAAGATATAATTAGGAAATGCTTTGGACTATTGATGGATATTAATTATATATATTATTAATGCCTTAATATTTTAATCATACATATTAATTTTAAATTTTATTTTATAGTTAAGAATTAAAAAGAACATAAATAATAAATATTTATTTTGTACAAAAAATATTATTAATTACTTTAATCGTAAAATATCGAGTAGAAAAAGTGGAGTATGAGAAGACGCGTTGATATCTCTCAATTTAACAGTAGTAGGGTCAAAAATTTTCGGAATTAAATAATTCACGCGAAG